ATATTTGCTAGAAGAGGCCAATCTCATTAGCACTGAAGATGTTCTCAGCGCTCTGTTGTCTGATGCTGTGCTAATGAAAGTCTAGCTGCTCTGATCCAGCGTTAAAGAGGACTGAGCTGGAATCAAAAGTGGGAACAATTGCTCGTTTCACTCTATTTTTTGTTGTCACTAACTTTGCTTTTCCTGTTTGAAGAGGCTCTTTTTGTGCTTTTGCTTGCTTGAAAACAGGAGGAAAGCATAGGATACATCGTTGGTGTAGCCAGAGCAGTGCACGTAGGCATTTATGTCGGCGTTTGAGCCAGCTGGCTCAGGCACTGCTAACAGGAAGGCCTTGCAGTGCACCATGTTCAGTGCACCCTGTGCTCTGTCCCTGGGTATCTAATATGCTTCAGATCCTGCCTGCTGAGCCCGTAAGTCACATTTGTACAGCTGGCAGCGCCCAGGTTAGCCAGGAGCTCGGTATGTCAGGAGCTGGCGTCATTGCAGCGTGGATGGCACCCTTCAGTTGGCGTCTTTTGGTCATTACTGATGTCTCTGCAGTCCTGTCACTAGAGAGGGTTATTCAGAGGAACTCCCTGAGGCGTCCACGCTGACTGTAGGGTTGGGTTGTGCTAAGTGTTGGTCAGCCTGGCCTTCAGAAAGCCAAAAAATAACTACCTGCCTAACATTAAGCACACGCGGTTTCAAGATGTGAATGTCTTTCTTTAGAGTATGATGCTTTCTGTGGCTGCATGCGCCCTTTCTGGTGTGCCACGGTGCACCCTTACAGCCTAACCCCTTATTCAACACATGAGGCAGCCGCTTATCTGTGGCACAACCAGCCAGTGCCTTGGCCATGTGCCTTGCGGTGAGGGGAGCGGCTTTTGGGAGCACCTGGGTCTTGACCTGGCGTGGATGTAGAAGACGGTTGGGTGCACAGGTAGAAGTGGAGACCCAGCAGTGCTCTGGCACTCCAGTCTTCATCCTGGTCTATATTTTGCCTTCTGGAAAAGAGCAGTGGTCTGAGTCCAGACGGTCACTATCCTCTCTTGTATGATGCAAAACGATGGTTCGGTATCTCCTGATGTTGTCGTGTTTCTCACAGGAGCATTAAATCCTTGCAAAGAGGCAATTCCCAGCTTTCCGGTAAGGATAACATTGACGGTACCTAATTAAAGGGCACGTTTAGCTGGGGTAAACATTTATATTAATTTCCTTCTCACACAGATGTCTGGTAAACTGACTTCCTGAGGCAAAACCATCTGGTCTCAGGTGGGAGGAGTATCTCCACCAGCACAAAGAACCCAGCCCGGTTGCTCGCTGAAGTGATTCTAAATAGCTTTTTTTTTGTCACAGAAGTTGCGTATGTATGACATGCCTGTGGTATGGTTATATAGGTTTTATGGGCATCTGTCTTAGATGGCCTGCGAAATTATACTGCAGGCTTGTGGTTCCAGGCTCCAGTGTATAACCTCTTCCCATCGTGTAGCCTGTGTTTGTCTGCGTATAAAATTAGCAGGTATGGTAAGCAGCAATAAGATGTTCCCTGCTTGGATGGATTAAATTAAAATTCTCTAGGAAACAGAGCTTTGGGTGAGTTTCCAAATTACTTTCAGGATTGCACTGAGGAGATTATGGTATCATAAACCTTTTGGTGGGTGAACAGCCTAATGTAAGTTCCGTGTTTTTATTGCTCGTCGTGCTCTATTTTGTGTACTGTTCTGTGTAATCTTTTGTTATTAAATAATAAGCAAAATAAAAGCAGTTGTTTGTCACAGCCAGCTTGTTTTTCAAAGAATTTGCTCACTTTGAAAGTTCAGTCTGTGTGATCTTCAGCTCTGTCAGAAGCTATTATATTGAATCTTCTTTTAAATTGTTAAGCTGGAGGACAAAGCTAGACGTTACCGTGCGCATCTCAATTGCGAGCGGAACAGGAGCAGAGCAGCTTCGGCAGCGAGCAGCCTCCGATGCCATGTACTATGCCATTATCTTTGTCGAGAGCACGTCTAGACGATCTGCTTCCAGTGTTACAGGTGTTGGCTGACGTGAGCATTAGAGGATTTGCATAATTTTTGAAGTAGTTTGGAATGTGGATATGCACCTAGGGCTGTGTGAAATCTTTTTCTCCTTTCTATAGATGATTTTGCCATTCAGAAAGTTGCTTGTTGTGTTACTCTCTCCCACAAGATACTGTATTAAGTTGCAGAGTTCATAATGAAGCTGCCCCACACTAGAAATCAGCGAAAATAGTAGACAATTGCTGCGACATTTCGGAAGACCAGCAGCGCAGCATTACGTGTTAAAGAGGGACTGTTGGCCTGCTTTGGTTTGTATTGGGTTGTATCTTCATGCAGGAGGTGGCGTTTATTTCTGGGGCTTGGCAACCCTCAATGCAAAGCGGACGTTGATGGACAGAGCACAAACAGTCTGCTTGGCCAGGGTTTTTTCCCTTGGAGTATGTGTGTGCAGATGTGTACCTTGATAGCGCTTTACCGATGGGGTTGCCAAAGTGCTTGTTAAAAATCAGATAAGGTGCTTCAGTTACCCATTTCTGAAGCTGCTTGTTTGTTCATTAATACCCAGACCTACCCCATCCTCGAAGAGAGTCATGTTTTTCCGTGAGGGTGCACCATGCTTGTTTCTCACCCTCTTTGGTACAGCCAGACAGCAGAAGGAGCCAGTAGCTGTAGCCATGGCAGCCAGTAATTTAATGTCCCATATGGCTGGTGTGGCAGCAGCTGCTCCGGTTTAAGGAGGTCAGGGCATCGGGGCATTTAAGAAACAAAACAAAACGCAAGCCCCACTATAAAACCTTCCTCAAATCATTTTGTACAGTAATAGTAGGGTTTTCCATGGACACGGTGATGTGATCAGCCAAGGGAGAGAAAACTGTGTTTTTTTTTTTTTTAAATCAAAGACATAAGTTTCGTTTCTATCTTTGTGGTTTTAAGTTTTTTCAGCTTTCATTGCTAGTGTTTGTTGGTAGCGCACATTAATTAGGTGCAGTGAGCCTGGCTGCTCTGTCTACACGGTGAGTAACTCTTCCGGAGGCACCGGAGTGCAACGGGTGCCAGCCGGCAGGAGCGAGAGCAGAATCCGGCCCAATATTTTTGAATGCATGAGATATGCTGAGAGAAAAACAATATTATCTAAATTGAATGGTAGTGCTGTATTTCAAGTAATGGAGTAAAAAAGCATGCTTTGTGAACGGTTAACATAGAATAGAAATACAGCTTTAATTTCAGTATGAGTGTGAAAGTTGCTCGGTGCTGAAAAATGGCTCTTGGATTTAGTATTAAAGTTTACAAATAGGCTTTTCATAAGCGTGAGTTATTTTCATTAGGGGACCATTTTAATTAAGATGAAACTGGAACGTTTACTCTTTGCTTCCTAAAGCCGTGATTGTTTTCTTCACTGTGTGAGCACATGTGTAATTTGCTCTAGAAGACGTGTCAGCAGTTTCTGATTACCTTGTGAGTCTTACTCAACAGCTTGATTCTAATTGGGGGGAGGAAAGATTTCAGGGTGCTCTAGGGAGGTCTGATGTCTGCTAGCAGCATGAGGCAATAGGTACTATCTTTGGTACAGTGCTAATTGCAATAATCACTACCACTGTTTTAAAGTAAAGGTCCTTCATTTCTTGCCCCTGTTGATTTTTCAGTCATGTCAATGCAATAAAACCTGTTTCATAATTAGCATCCTTCAGCTTCATAACCTTTTGACATTGCTACCTTCTTGTGTTTGTAAGCATGCGAACAAGGTGACTTGGCAAACAGTGATTGACAGTATAATGCAAGTAGTCTCAAATTTTAGGAAGACTGTATAACTTAGGTTAGACAGGGAGAAGAGCAGGCCAGAAGCCTAGATAGAAGTCTGTCTGCATTCAGATACTTTTTCTCTAAGCCCAGAAGTCCACCAGGAATTGTAAGTAATAGATAATTCATGTGGGTCAAGAGTATCTCTTTCTTGAAATTTTTGATAGTCATGAAATGTGACAAGTATTATCTGTAGCAGAATAATGCGTTCCAGATCACTCAGCAGTAGAGCTCCTGAAGCATTCCCGTAACATCTTTTTGTTTAGATCTACTGTAAAAAGTCACCTTGGACTACTTTGATTGTTGAAATGTCTTTGAGGTTTTACAAAGCATTGCAGAAATGACCATTTTCAGAACCTCTTTGGAGCTTAGCCAATATCTTGAATTTTAATACTGTCTTCTCCATCAGAGATAATGATCTAAGGTCTCCCCTCCTTATTCTCTGGGATTTTGTTTTCTCTTGCTGTTTATTTGAAATAAACAAAGAAACAAACAGGAAAACAACTAGGATCTGTGTATTAATGAGGAAGGAATGACTAATAGAAAAATGAGAGGAAAGAGACTGCTTATCATGAAAGAAAGTGTATCTCTGGAGATGTAAATTGGTATTCATTAAGTTGTTTGCCTAGACTTAGTTAAAAGATATACTTGAGGAGCTGTCTGAGCAGAATTTCAGTAGAGAGCAAGTCATCCTTTTCATGGCTAGATATATCTAGATGAGGAGGAGGGACCGGAAAGCCACACTAAATAGATAGAACAAGAACGGCCGCCTTAGCAGTAAGGACATGACAGGCTATGAAGTGTTTTTCAGAAATGAATGATCCTTAATGCCTAGTGTAGAATAATAGTGATCTGTCTTTCCTCTCCAAATATGCAAGTCTTCTTTATACCTGGTATAGAATTGTTTAAAATGTTCAGTTTCTGGCATTTCTTTTCCAAGGTATCTTGGGCCCTCTTGTTTTTGATAATGTTTTCTGTAGCTTGAGAATAGAATTTAACCTGTGATGATTATGATATCCTCTGTGGATTATGTGGCTCTCCTCTGTTGACCTGATTTTTGTATCTTTAAAAAAATAAGCGTACAGCATGATAACACTAGTAAAATGCTTTCATTTTTTGGAGTTTGAATGGATACTCTTTGTCAAACTCTTTTGTGCATGGTATAACATTTTTGATGTTCACCATTTCTTCTTTTTTTCTTTCCAGATTAAGACCCTTGATTTCTACACAACTAGCTAAAAAGGCTGCTACTGAAGAGGTATGTAAAGTCTATCAGCTCCCCCAGGGCAACAGTTGGAGTTTGGAAATTCTCACAAGCCTTTCTCAGCCTGGCCGTGGTTATGTGGTGAATTCCATGCAAAAGAAATGAGAAATTTGTGTTAGTGAGCAGACCAGGAGATGGTTACTGTGAACGCTGCAAAGCCGAGGTTACCTGTTCTCTAATCAAGGCTTGCCCTTGCATTAATCCATCAGTAACCTTAGCACAGCCTCATGTTCAGCATATATAGCAAGAATGCCTACTTAGGCAGAAAAAAAGAGAAAAAAACCCTGCAAGAGTCTAAAACATATCAAGCAAGTGGGTAGGAGGAGTAGGAGAAAGCAGAGCTTAAGTCTGTTTCTCAGCAGCTGAACTGTCCCCCCAGAGAAGGGGGATGATGCAAAATGCTGCTTCTGGGGAGCAAGTGGTGACCCTGGAAAGTGCTGTGCTCCTGGGATGTGCTTCAGGAAAGTGATGAGGAATCACAAAGTGGCAGTTTACCCTGAAGAGAATGACTTGCTCTTTTTTCATTTGATTTGAAAATACGATAGTGCCATAGAAAAGTTAGTGTTAGAAAGTGTTCGCCATCATAAGCCTTCTTGGGTAGCTTTGTGCATGTGTATTTTCTGCTGGAGAGATCATGATTATTAACAGAGCCACAGCAATAACTGCTTTTCCTCACTATTATATTCTCAGTGTACGAAGCAGACATACACATTTTGCATATGATAAAATAACTGTCTGCTGTGCATCTCAAAACTGTTGCTAATATACCAAAGGAATCTGCCATTCCTGTTATTCACATGAATGTGTGACACTGGCACCCTTTTGAAAATGTACTAGTTAGCTTTGATTGATAGTTTAACATGCTTTTGCAATCATCTATGCTTACATAAAGATATATGCCAAACTGAAGTCCAAGTTGTCTGGAAGTGAATTCAGGAAGTTCTGTTTAAAGGCATTGTTTGACAGCCTTATTTTAAAATGACTAAAACCCATTGATTTTCAGAAACAGTTTGATATCCTGCCTGGGGAAACACATTTTCACTTCTTATGCTGTGCTCATTAGAAAACCCTGCACATTTATAGAGCTATAGCAGTCTGGAAGTGGACATGATAATTAGATGAAGGTCATATTTTAATTAGCATGGTGCAATTTTAAAAAATAATGACTCAATCTTAGCTCCTTTATATTCACCCACTTTTTCAGAGCAGATGGATACTTTCAGCATAAAAATTGGTATACCCGATGATGCTGATTCTTCTCAAACTTGTGTCTATTTCTGCTTATACCTAAAACCTAGGTGGACCAAATTTGATCACTCTGGAGGCAAAGCAATGGTAGGAAATATATAATAAACTGTAGGGAAGTTCCTCTAAATAATATGATTAATTTCAACATAAAAAAAAGAAGATGGAAACCTGTCTCGGAGTGATCTGAATACCTAAATACTTGATTTTCTATTAAAATTAATGGATATCTTTTGCCCTATTAATGAGCTATTGGAGCAAACCCCTTAGGTGACTTTGAAAGTTTCAGGCAGTTTCTTTAGGTTGACTGGCATGGTTATCTGACAAGTTTGAGAACAGCTTTGATGTTTGAATAATTAGACTAACAGCTTTCTGGTATAGGGACTTTTGCTTGTGGTGTCTCTAAAGTATCTATAATTGCAGGGATTCTGGGAGTTACTGCATCACGAATCAATAAGGTAGGAATTACCACACCAAATCAGAACTTGTTGCCGACAGAAATGAAGAAAATGCAGCAAGCCTACAATCTCTGTAGTGAAAGTAGGGTTTAAGTCCTAAAGCACTAATGATTTTTCTTGTGTTAGGGAACAGAGAAGGTAGACTTTACTGGTCTCCTTTAGACTATTCATTATTATGAACAACCTACCACTATCCTTCCCAAGTAAACAATCCCAGTTTTTTTCAATCTCTCCTAGTATGAGAGATGACGAGTCAATGCTGATACATGATGACTAGTGACAGGTAATGTTATAAGCATTCCCAATTCTCAAAATTGCTTACATGGCAAAGCAGCATTAATGATTAATCTTTAATCTTCTGCAAGTTCCCGCTCGTGGGATGTCCCTTTTGGGCCGCAGGCTTTTGTGGGATGTCCCTTTTGGGCCGCAGGCTTTAGCACATAAAACCCAAATATTCCAAGTACAGAATGGAGGTGAAAAGTACCTTACTGTAAAGCTCCTGTGATATATCTTCTCTGCATGTGAAAGGGAGATAGTTCCCTACATTGAGCACGCCATGGAAATAAGGGCTGCTGGGTGCCAGCTCAGAGCCCTTTTTGGGCCCTGGGTTGTATGTTGGGGCATACAACATTGCTTCGGGAGCCAGGGCTGGCTCCTTCTGGTTGCTATATTCTTCTTAGCTCAGTCATTAGTGAACCGAAAAGAGGATTGCCTTGCACTTTCAAGTTCATCTCTGTCTCCTTGCTGTGTTTCCCTTTCTCTCCTCTCCTGCTGTGCCTGTCCCTCTTCCTCCTTCTCTTCCACCTTTGCAGATTCATTTCCTCCTCTCACACTGCCCTGGTGCTTGGACATCTGCCCTCCAGGAAGTCTTTCTAGTTGAGACTTTTCCTATTGGGAGACCTTGCCCAGCCATCTGCCTCCCTCAATATCTGCTCACTGCTCTCCTTACAGCTTGCACTGCTGCTCTAGTTTTGAAGGCAGCTCCTGAGCTGTTGACCCCTCTGTAAGCTCAAGCTTATGAGGTTTAAGCATGCGGGCCGTGAGGTAGCAGCATTCAAGGACATGTCTAGCCTTGGAGCGTGTGGGTAGGTGCACATGTGGAACATGTTCTGGCAGTGATCAATTCCCAAGCTAGTGTTCAGAAATGATTATTCTGATGAATTTCATAGGTAATGTTGTAGATGCTGTCATGTGTTATCAACCTCATGTTCGACCATAACATTAAGTACTGTCTAAAGAGCGCTGTTTTTTCCACAGCTCATTCTGCCTCCAAATAAATCCAACCAGAGCTGTCAAAACTAATACATATGTTGTTTTTTTTTCTGATGAGAAGAGCACATTTTTGCTATCATTAAAGAGTTGATAGCATTGTTGTTATGTAATAAGCCTTATAAAAGTCAAACACAATGAGGAAAAGGTTGTAAGAATTCCCACAGAGCTCTGTGGTGAGGAACCTTCATTCTCACTTTAGCCTTACCTTTTGCTTGCAGGATCCTGTTCTACTGCCATTGTCTCTGGATATTTCAGTTACTTGGCTCTGAAATGTATGAAAACTGTGGATATTTATCCCTGACTTTCATTCGGACAACCTTTCACTGAGCATCTTGAATGTTCCCTAGAATAGCTAAGCCTCGAGGATTGGATGTGAGCTTCCAGCTGTCCTGTGCCTGTCGTTTGGAAACTACTAACGTTCTTCTACAAATGTTGCATATAAGGAAGGGCTACCGTACTGTCCCCTTTCTTTTTTGCAGATGACGTTTCCGAATGCACAAGCAGAAGTCCCTGACTCAGAAAAACCAGCAGCTGTGCTAGTGGAAAGTGGCCCAGTAGCTTATAACCCTGATGAGGAGGTAGAAGAGGAAGAAATAGAAGAGGATGATGATCACTGCATGAGCGCATTGCAATTAATGGGAGGAAATGGTAACTCGGGATGTTTAAATTGCTGCCTGTTACTTCTTTAGTGGTGCTGCTGTCTTTGTTGTTGCAGGGCTTAGGAAAGATGGGATACCCCTGCTTGTCCCTAGCTATCAGCAGTTGGCCCCATCCAGAATTTCTGCTGCCTTTGGGGCATTGCCTGCTCCTGTGGGAAAACTGGGGTCACCCACAGCATGGACCTTCTTCGAGACTCCCCCTAAGAACATTTTTCATTTCTAGCTTTAGGCTAAAAGTTCTTCTCAAGAATAAATTGATGTTATGCCTTATTCAGAATTACATTCATTAGTGCGGATCTGCTGAAGGAATTAGCAGGACAGTAACCGCTCCGTTAGCAGTGCTTGGGGCTCTTTGCCTCATGGTTCAGCCCGCCCTGCTCCTGCCTGGCTCCTCAGTTTCACCTTCAGCTCTGTCCAGATTGCACATGAGCCCTATGCACTTGGCTGTCCAGCTCAGAACAAAATGAATGATCACACTCCATTTGTGGGGTAAATGTTATGAGAAATGAGTTCTTCACCAAATAAAGAAATCACGCTGATAGCGTATGGCGTGCTGTATGGTACACAGATGTGTGTTAATTTCTTTGGGTTACCCAGCAAAGCCACTCATTTAATTAGGTTTCTGGGCTGGCAGGAAAAGGCAGCATCCTCTCTGCTGTGGTTTCTCCGAGCTGGACATATCTACATTTATCCTTTATTAAATATTTCCCTTTAGAAGTTAAGCTTTGAAAATATACAGAAATATTTTTAAAATGAGGGCTGCTAATTCTGGATTGTGGAAAAGCAAAATGGCAATAAGTTTCCTACTGGAATGTTATTTACTGCAAAAGTCTTTCCAGTACTATTAACTTAGCTTTCGTGGACAATATGTATACATTTCATAAAAATGTCTGTTGCTTTTAAATTGACTTCTCCACTGGAAAATAATTGCGGAACCGTAGGAAAAACACTTCGTTGCCTGCATGTATTATTAGAATAATGTTCCCAAGAAAGTGCATCCATGCGGGGGAGGGTGGGTCTATGTTTATTAATAAACCCCCACAAAAATAGAATAAAGGTCACTGAGCTTTTTTTCTTTGTAAATGTTACTATTTTTAAACCATTCTGAGAACATTCCACTACTCCCTGTCTGGTCTGGACAACAGCTGAAAAATGAGATTTAAAAAAAAATAAAAAGGAAGGGAGCGTTCCCAGAATTCAAATGCAGGTGTGCAAAGCTGTTCAGCAAAACAACTAGCTGTTCTCTAACTAACTGCTTTATTCATGGGTTTTAGACCTGTCTGTCTGGAATAACTGCAGGCATTACAGATGGTGATCTGCGCAAATTACTTTAGATCACACTTGATTCTGCTGCAAAGCGTTTGTTTGAGTCTTTGGATTAAATGTTGCACTATATTGAATTTGGAATATAAAAGTTAACTTTACCGAGTGGTCATTTGTAGTTGTTATCCTTAGGTTCCACTTTGCAACAGAAGATCTGTGTCAGCTTCATTCAGGAACTACATAAAAAAGAAATCAATGCATTAGAAAACACAAACATGTCTTCTTTCTGACACACACAAGACAATCTTTGCAATCAGCATCATTTTAGAGAAAAAAAAAAAAAACCCTGGGTAATGACTGGGCAAAATTTTAAGTTGTTCCTCTAGAAGTAGGTATGAGGGATCTGAGTCAGTTGTATTAGTCACAATTCACCGCAAGACTTCTTGGGAATCTTTTGACACTGATGGGAACATTACCTCTGAACCTTTGCAGTTTCAGCTTATAAATCCATGAGCAATATAAACAAGCTAGCTTTTTTCTTGATGTTCGTGTCTAGTGAGAATCATGCCTACTTGTAAATGTATGCTGCTCCTTATCAGCCACCATGTTTCAAATTACTTTTGACAATCAGGCTTGATCACCTTAACCTCTAAATTAAACTGAATATTTCACATATCCTTGTGCCAAATATCCTTGAGCAAGGGTCGACCGAGAAGGGATATTTAAACCTATGTGCTTACAAATAATTTTATTTCATTAAGGAAAGCACATGTGAGAACTTTGTGTTTGGCTGTATGAAAATACATGTTTTCTTTTTGCTTGCTAAAATCAGAACTTACCATCTAGCTACACAGCAGGAAAAAACACGAAAGTAATAATATTTTCATCGTATCTTTCATCTACCTAGGAATATTTGCATTTTTATATGCATTTGTCTTTGTATGTTTCAGACTACGGCTGTGATCTGGAGGATGATGATGGCTACTAGTCTCATTTACTTCCAAAGGACATGGGCTGTGTCTTGTTCCCGGCAGATCTTCAAGGTGTATGAATGGTGAAAGAAGCTGTCTTCGGTCAGCAAATGTAGCTGAACAGTCCTTACTTTTGTAAAGCAAATTTTAGTCTGGCATAGACTCTGGTTAGTTTACATTGACCCATAACCCAGCAGTAAAGTTTGGGTTTGTACTTGAATTTTTTTTTTTTTTAGTTCAGTGGATCATGTTTTGAGGATGGAACTAATGAGAGGAATATTTCCAGAGAGCAGAAGAAAATAGACTGCATATAAAGCTCGTGTGGCTGGAAGCGACACATCTCTTATTTATCTGACCCTGCTTTAGGCATGCTATTGAAAGGCAGCATGTAGAAGGACAGGTGAAAAAGAGAAGCCTCCCTGTTAGTTATTTGAGTGCACTTGGATTAATTTTCTTACATTGCTACAACTGAAAATAAACTATTATTTCCAACTTCTATTGTAGACATGACCTTGTTACTGTATACAAGCTTCCTTACCCAAGCCTATCAAAAATTAATGACAAATTATATATTCGTAGGGCAGTATCTGTTCCTCTGTAATGAAGTACATTTGGTTCATAGATTTCTTAAAAGGCATTACAGCAGAAGGCAGTGTTGCCCCTGGAGTTGTCTTCCACTGTGAGTTGGGTGCTATTCCTATGGAAAGAGGGAGAATGTCTGGGTGAAGCAAGAAGCATACAGGGAAAGCAAGAGATAATGCTGTGGTCACGTGGCTTTCCTGAGAGTCCCTAGGGACAGCTATGTATTGTGGTGGCTGGTATTGCTGCAGGAGAGTAACTCTGTAACTCTTGACTATCCCTATTGACCTGCTCTTATGCGACTGACTTGAGAGTGCAGGCCTGCTCCCAAGAGCTGCCTTTCTCTGAAACCAGTCAAAAGAAAGAAGAAATTGAGCTTTTTAATAAATAAGCTAGCATCTGCTTTGGCTGAATTTAATTTCATGTAATTTATTTAACTTTCTGTGGGTAAATTAAAGGTCACCGTACTGCAGCCTGGCTTTCATGGCTTAAATTCCCCCTTTGAATAATTGCTATTACATGAATAACACTAGAACCCTAGTCTTGTGAGCCCCTAAATGTCAACAGGCTGGTCCTTCTCATCCGGAAGCCGGCCTCTGCAGTGCTGGAGGACCAGGGATCACAGATGGAGCCGTTATTGCCAGATCACACTCTGTTGACTCTGACCTGCCTTTCCTCGCCACTGCTAGGGCCCGAGGCTCTCCATTCAGTGGAAAGTGCAGTTCATGTTAGATTGAGGTCTTGATGGCTGCAACTGCAGGAGCTCAGGTCTTTTCATCGCTCTCCCTTGACTAGTGAAATCATGAAAGCTGTACTGTGTTGCAGACTTGTCTTACACAAGGGAAAAATGGATGTTTACCTTACTGACGTGGCTTCTGTTAAGCTCTTTTTCCTGGCTGGCTCGTCCTTCCTACCCTTTTTGAGGAGCACTCACCAGAAAAGTGCCATTCATTGCCCCTCGCCCCCATAGAGGGTGGATAGTGGCAATTCCTTCAGGGAGGAGAAGAAGCTGATTTGGAAAGGTGTCCTGACTGCTGCCAGCTGGAGTGACAGAGGTAGGAACGGAGGATGCTTGTACCTGTAGCAGTCGCCATAAGAGGGGAAATGGCATACAACCTTCCATACCTCTTCTGACCCTCTCAGTAGCATCCGTAAGAGGGGATGTGTAAGTAGAGCAAGAGGGAGTGCTTTTTGAGGAACAGATTTGATACTATTTGGCTGGTAAATGTAGTCTGTTGGCTAGGTTGTGTTTGCTAGATATTTCTGAGCCCTGAATAGGAATATTTCTGCATTGGCTCTATTAATAACAGAACTGGGTAACAAAAATGGTGTGGTGAGGCTAGTGGGACATAAAGCTCTTCTAAACCAGATTTCAGTTATTTAATTTGTAGAGCTTCAGTGAGAAAGAAGAGATTCCATACAATTCTTAGGAGAAAAGCTGGCATTTTCACCAAAAAGCTATAGATTTTTTCCTGATACTTTATAAATGCTGCACGGAAAATTATATTGAGGAGATAAACCTTTTTACTTCTCTTTTATCTACACCATGAATTCAAAATCATGCTATAAGCAAACAATTAGAAAAAGTGACTTTGTATTATCAAAATTCATGGTCTGCAAGTCTTTGAGACAGCTGAGTATCTGCAATGGGTTTGCAGTAATCTGCCAATAGCACCATTACAAATGCCTGTGCTCTCAGGATATTCTCAAAGCTTGGGTTTTATTCCAAGGTACACATTATGCTCTATGCAGGAAATAAACATGCATAAATAAACATGCTTATGACTCATGTAGGTCGAGTGCTTTTCTCAAATGCATAATGTTGGCTCTTAAAGAAGCCGCTAAGATGAGTTCTTTATTGCTAAGGGTCTTTCCTGCAGTTTTCTGGGTAGATTTTCATTGGTTTGTTCCCCCAACAGAATACTAAACCTGCTGCCGATGTAGTGACATTATGTGTGAGAGCTGAGAGTCCCCTCAAATAACTACTGCTGGTAAATTTGAATTTCAGTAACACATTGGGTTTCTGGGAACACTATTTCTTGCACTGGAAGTAGAGGATGCTTCTCTCTTTAGGACAGGGAAAAACTTGCAGTTTTTGAATGCTCTCATGTGATTCGATTAGAAAAGGCTATCACATAGTCTGCTAGAAAGGCACTTGGAAAGCACAAAAAGATCCTCAATTCCATAGCATCTCGGTATTGCTGGTGAAGTTAACGGCCTGAATTTCTGTACAGGGGCCCTAAAGGAAGAGGCCATGGTATCAGATAAGGAGTTTTCACTCTGAGCATTGTAAAGATTCTCAAACTGTAGTGGTTATGTACATTTTTAATTTATTGGTGACTTACTAGGACTTTTATAATGTTCATTCCTTCTTGATTTAACTAAGCTCAGGAAATGTAAACAGATTAGAACATGCTAGTTTCTGTTTTTATTGCTAGTCATTAAAATGTAAAAAGATTAACACTGCATTAACTCTGTTTACTACTGTTGATGTATCTGGACAATTTTGTTTTTTGTAAGTGAGCCTAAATTCACTTGGAGTAATTTGGACCCTGCTTTTTTCAGGATTCTGATTATAATGAAGAGAGATTATAAGGCTTCAGCATTTGTTGTTCTTAGATCGTCTTACCAGAACCCACAAAAGCTGTATATCGTAGGTTTTCCTGCATAAAGCATGTCTCTTGCTGCAAGTCACTTCGTTTGACAGGCAAAACCCTCCAGCTGTTGCATCCAGCTTGTCTGCCATTGCAGCCTTTTAACACTCTTCTCTTGTGGATATAAAATATGAAAGAAATAATGAAAATAATGGTTTTTTTCACCGTAGTGAGTCCGTTTTCAGTGTCTTAATCATCTATGACATTTCTTTAAAATCACTGTGTTCAATACAGCAGCTCCTAAATGGTGCCAGACAGCCCTGTCTTGAGGGTAAAAAACGTTCGTCTAAAAAGTTCTTGCCATCCTGATGGCTTGTTTGTATTCTCTTTGGGTTGCATTGAAACTCTAGTCACAGATGTATGCAGTTAGTGTAGAATTTGCCTAATAAATGTTCTGTTTCTTATTTTTGTGTTGAATCCATGCATTTTGTTCAGTTAGTGCCAAGGAAATTAAACCTGTTTGATGTAAGCATATGTATCTTCCTTACACAACCACAATATGAGCCATGTTAAGCTTTTTTACTGTAATATATTTGCTGTAAATAAAAAGTAAAACCCTTCCGCAGCCCATCTTTTATGGTGCTCTCTTGCTAATTTCTGGTTCTTCTATCTCCATTCTTCTGAATGCTTGTTTTTGATTGCTGCATGATTGGTTGATAGTGGACAAAATTTGAAATCTGGAGCTTTCTTTCATCTCTAAAAGGGAAGATATGTCTAATCAGGCAAATACGTTTTACAGAATATTGTTCCACTGATAAATGTAGATACTTTCTGTAAACTGCGTAACATTAACAAGGTTTTTCCACCAAGATATGTAATTAACTGAATGTGGGTACGATATGCAGTATGTGTGCTTAGTGCAACTGTTCCAGTGCTTGTTTCTGAAAGGTTGTACCTTGACAAAGAAGGCGTGCACTGAATTAACAATCATGTTATTTTACTAACATCTGGATACCACAGTTCGGAGGCCAAAATCCACATCTACCCTTTGCCTACTTTGGTGTTTGCTCGTTCTGTTTTTTTTCTGGAAGTGGAACTACTACTGGATCCTCAGGAATATCTACTGCAAAGTTTTAGCATACAGCAGGACAATTAACAGTAGTTTTGATAAAGGATTGAGTATATCTCATTCCAGGAATTATTTCACAATGTGTCAAATCTAGCGAAGCTTTATTTTAGCGTCATTTGTCATCAGTAGATCATAGCATGCTTATTCTTATGTTCATGTATTTTGCAATGGAAGAGACAGCTGTAATTGTCTGGTCCCGTCATGTGTGTAAGAAGAGTTAAAGCGTACCATTCCTTTGCCAACCCTGAAACCTGGCTGTGGTCTTGGTGAGTGGTGTTTGTTCAGTGAGCAAGATGAAGTGCTCGAGAAGTCAGACTGGGTTAAAATGCATGCTGTAGAGCCTAATAAATTTATTTGGTGAGTTCCCTCATCTTAATTTTTTTATTCTTTGGGGAGTTGTGCATTTTCTTGGAAATGAGAGATGCATATACATTTCCTAAAAATGCACACTGAAATTCCCATCTTGCCATGTGACTCTATGAGCAAAGAATTTAATGACTTCTAGTCTGAATCTTTTATTTGTTATTATATGAGTTGGTAGTAGGCTAAGTGGCACCGTATGGTGCACCAGGATGGCAGTGATTTTATTATGCCCGTATTGCAAAATTGCAACAAGAATGCTTTCCCACTGGTCTTAGTGCTCTGAGTAAGGTTTCTCAGTTCTTCAAAACCAGAAAAATACAGCAAATTAGAGGAATTTGAACAAAGCAATGAAAAGGAACACAACCAACTCTGTGCTTAGCAGGTAATTTTTCTTCACTGCCCTTCTTTGGGGAAGGTAAAAGGTATTTATGCACGGAGACTAACAGGTGGAAAAGTTGCATCTTGGCAGCAACAGAAGTGAGGAAGTGGTATCCACTTTGCACACGCAAATTCCTGACTCCTTTTGTTTCTTGGTATATCCTGCACTATCTTCGTCATTTATAGAATGGTGGCCCAGTCCACTGAGCAATATTAAAAGTGATTTCTAATCCTGTCCTGAGTTGTCAGCTGCCCGCAGAGTTGTACTTCAGATGAATGGATCACAGCATTCCCCACCATGGGCTCAGCACAGGCGTTAGCTGTTTTGTACAGACATTTATTTCCTCCTCTCCCGCTGACTGTTGTGAGTTATTCCTGAAGAAGAAACTACCAGGCTTTCAGGAAAAAAGGCACATGTTCATTTCTCAACTCTGAATTTTTATAACTGTGAAAAAAAAGTAGACCAAACCATTGATTGTAAAGGCCAAGCTGGCTTTGTGGTGACACCTTACTATTGAGCAGTAGTACACTTTGGAAGATAGATAGTACTCAAGGTTGATGCAGACGTACTCAAGCAGCCTGGCACGTCTTGTAGCTGGCAAATTCTCTCAGACTCTCCTCTTTACTGATGTAGGTCTCCTTGGTGGAGTAACTGAAAAAGAATCGAGCAGACCACCTGGCCTGTCTTGCAGAGGTGCTAATCCTGGTATTGGTTAAATACCCTTGTGCACATAAGGACTTTGGAGCAAGAATTTTGAGTAGAAGTTTCATGTGAAGAGTGTGATCTGTGCCCTAAGCAGATATCTTTTGATAGTGAGGGAACTTAGGTTCCTAAAAATGCAATGGCATAATTTAAAAAATTGGGCCACATACAAATATCTATGATAGATATTACAGTTGCTGTAAATTGGTACAGTTCCTGCAACTTTGCATCAGGCAATAAGAGCTTTGCTGGTTTACATCAGTTGAGGATCTGTGCTATTAATGACGGTCCCAAGAGGTGACTGTGGTAGGAGAGGAAAGGAGGAAAGTGCTCTGGGGTAAAAGTAGTTTCTGATACTGTGGTATATCGCCCAAAGCCAAACTGTACTGCTGCTTACTCTGTTTGTCAAGTGCATCCTACTGCCTTTCCTAATTAACTAGGGGAATGGAGTTACCTATTCTGCTGATGTTAAAGTAAATGAGGGAAGGAACTTCTGCAATTAATACAGCTACAGAGCGCAGGGCATAATGCATTCCACTTTAGCTCTACATGAGAATGGCTGCGGCTGTCAAAACTCTCTCTCTCTAGGTGGTAATAGACTACTCTGACGTGTACCTAATTGAATAATGATTCTTCAGAGCAGTATCGTGTCTGGGAAACAGGCTTAATCCCTCTATGTGCTTTGATTCCTCCCTGTACTCAGAGAGCGCACCAAAGGAGAGCTCTCATACATACCAGAACAATTCAAATAGGATTCATGGGTTGTCACAGGGTAAAATAATAGCTAAAGCAAATAGTTTCAAAACTGTAGTCACTATTTTCAAGCAAACTCTGATGCAAGGCCACTGGGAAACCGTTTGCTACTGCTGCATGCTGCATTAAATCAGTAGGACCTACCATAAGCTCCGTGGTCTCCAGCAGCAAATTGGTGCCATGTGAATCATTGTGTTTTCTTTCCGGACTACCCTGCACCAAGAGGAAAAGTCTGAGTGGATTTTGCTGTGTGCAGGAATGATGAGAGTTCTTTCATCTTGTCAGTTGTCTCTGTATACTTTATACTCGTTCAGAGGAGCTGGCTAAACTGTGTTAATTAAATGCCATCTGAAACGCTGTTAGCCACTGTGCTTGGCAGCCACACAAGCATAGATTTGCAGGTCTCTCCCGGCCACTTGAGAAGCCAGAGGTCTCTATCTGCAGGAGCAGTGCTAACTGCAGCCCAGCATAAACCCCAAGTATTGCCATTGCTTGGGGGTGTAATAATAGCTTGAGGGACTACATCTCAGGTGATTGTGCTTGATGTGGTACATCTATTATAAGATCATATTTGCTCCAGCCTGCTGCAGACATGAGTATGGAAAAGCAGATGTATTAATATTGTCGTGCAGAGAGGTGGATTGGGGGGTCTCTAGGGCTGCGTTCAGCCCACTGATGAGTCCCATCAATTTAGCCATCGCGACTGCTGCAGCACCTGTGCTCAGGAGGATGATTAGCAGTAGAGACCATCTGTGTGCCCAGCTGCTGGACCTCATCCTCCTGTTGAGCTGATTGAGAGCAGTCTCCGTGACATCTGAAGTGAGCATAAAAGTAGATGAAGTACAGAGCAATTACAGGACTTAGCTAGCTAAGATTTGGAGGAAAGGCTGTGGCTCTTCCAGTATCATTTCAAGCCCTGCTCTCCCAGCAAAGGTTAGCTATGGTTGAATTTTTGGGTAGGTCTTGGATTGACTGGAGGAATGTGGTGGCTTCTAAGCCAAGGAAGTGGGTGTTTTTGTTTGTTTGTATCTTTTTTTTTTTAATTACTTCCCTCTGTTAATGGAAATTGCAGTGACCGTGCTGGGGATTGCAGCTTTCCTGTTAAGCGGCCCTCAGTGCCCAGCAGGAGTAAATAATCACTACTGAAGAAGAGAGATGTTAAATAGTACAAGAAAGAGGTAGGGGGAGAAAACAGCACAGATGGAGAACTGTGGTGAGACTTGGAGCGTGAAAACACCAGTTGCTCCAGGTGACTGAGCCAGGGATGTCCCATATTGGAGGTGGTGGAGCAAGCAGTGAATGCAACAGAGGAGACAGGTCTGGTAAGCTGTGCCCTGAAATTCCTCTGTCCCAGACTGCTCTCTCAAACAGCTCCCTGTGCTTTCCCTTATTCTTCACTGTTAACTATTCACATGGGCATGAAAACAGCTTGCTCTCCTCCTGCTAGTGACTGTAAAACACTTGCTGCCAAGTCTGGCCCAGATCTAAGGCTCCATGGGCAAAGGGAGTCGAATGATACAGAAGCAGCTCCTTTCCCTTGAGAGAGAGCTGTACAGCTGTTCTGGGTTTTCACCCATGTATTTGCATCTGGTTGCTGCCACTTTTATCTCTGTTTTGTGTATCTTACCTAGACTTCTTATTTCTTGTATATTATATATATATTTCTTGTTGGTAATTTAAGAAACCTAACTAACATGGGAGCTGAGGGAATTCCAGAACTGCTAAGGACTTCTGGCAAACTGGGAGAGGGCTGCTCCTAAGCTCTCCTTACCTTTAGACCCTTAATGTCTGTCTGTGTTTTCTGCTCTGCTCTGTAACGTACCAGTCACTGACATTTTTGGAATAGAAGGACATTGTGAAATAATTCTCGGAAATACTACTTTCCATTGCTGTGTGTTAGTCAATATTGCAAATATTGTGATACCATCCCAGAAATGAGCAACACCCCTGTCACAGTAACATCTAAGAGTATCAAAAAAGGCAGCCATAGAGAAGAGGACAGTCCGTGCGCCTCAGGGTGCAACATGTGAGAAAGGGCTGAGCTCGGAGCACGACATAGTTGTAGAGAGAGACAAGTTTTACTGGAAAACAGCAGTGACAGGTATTCACTTCCCAAGCAGTGTCAGGGGAGAGATTTAGGGGCAAAAGCAGATTTTGCTTCTGGGTGGCAGCTCATCAAAACCTCGAGCTGCATCCTCAGCTGATGCCAGTCATCGGTACTCGGTGAGACTGAATCTGGTGCCACAGAATCACCCTTATGGGTAGGTGGAAGTCCTACTTCATGGTCACCCCC